AAAAAAGGCAGCATAGCTCTAGATGTTTTCAGGTGCAGACTCAGGGCTTCTCCTTTCAAAGTGAACATATTCACATTTATTACAATTACTGATAAGCTTGAATCTGCTCTTGATGCTTATTTTCGTGTCTTCTGTTCATTGCACTTGCGCTATCAAGATATTTTTGTCCCGCTCTTGCTTTTGATGAATCCATTTGTTTGTTGTTGCTCCACACCCTGCCACCCTGATTTAAGTGTTTACATTCTGTTTCCTTTCTTCTTAGAGAAGCACTAGCCGGTAGAATTTTCTGCTGTGGTAGAAACTTCTGTATCTGAGCAGTTGCATATGACCGGCTGCATGTGGATACTTGAAAGTTGGCTAATGTGATCAAGAACTTGGTGTTTTATTTTAATTAATTTACTTATTAAAACATAACTTGATGAGGTGGGCTGCTGTGTTACTTAGGAGCGAATATCTTGATGGCCGGGGGAAAGTAAGTGCCTGGTCCAAGGTCAGAGGTAGTGAGCAGCGAGCCGTGCTCCAAAGAGGGCTGTCTGAGCAGGGTGCACACTTCCACTTGCTCCGTGCCAGGCCCGGGCAGGACGGCATTTCACTCTGATCTCGTCTCCTGCCCTGCCCTGCTCAGAGGCAGTCTTCCTGCTGGGGGAGGACTCACCCCCTGTCTCTGCTCCCTGTCCCATTCCCTGACCAACTTCATCAAGAACACGGGATGAGTGTCTGCCCATGTCCTACCATCTGTCCTCGCCACTCCTTGCTTTGCCCCCTTGGTCCCTGGGGTTCACTCCCACAGGGGACAGTCCTTTTAGGCCACGTGAGGCAGCTGAAGTGAAAGCACAGGATTGTTTGTCATCTCTGGGTTCTCACTGGGGTGACAGAGAGCCCAGCCACAGGCCAAGGCCAAGCTGACTGCCCAGGGGCTCTGCTGGAGAGCATATGAGTGCAGACCAGGGTCACAGTGGCTGAGAGGAAAGCAGAGAGAGGTAAAATAGGAACAATTCCAGATCTCACTTCTGGAGCGCCTCCATGTGCCTGCTCTGGCTCCATCCTCATAGCAACTCCTGGGGGTGCTGTTACACTCAACCTACTTTGCAGGTGGGGAAACTAGGCCTTGGCATGTTCTTACAGCCAGGAAATAACAGGACCAGGACCAAAACCTATACACTGAAGAGCTTGCTCCAGGGATCTCCCAGCATAAAGGGTGCACCAGAGATAGGAGGAGCAGCAGGCAGCAGGGCTGCAAAGCAGAGGCAGAGGAAGAAATATCCCAAGTGTGGGGAACCACTCAGAATGCTTCAAAGCTCGGAGGCACCTAAGGACACCTGAGGATGTGACCCCGCTTATCTAGCACAGGTGCACAGCAGGATACAGTTATGTAACCATGAATTAGCGCAGGAGGACAGGCAAGTTCTGGTTATGGCTCTGTACAAGAATGTAAATATGTGATAACAATCTGTATAAGAATGATACAATAAAGATGCAGGCAGCTCTTGCAGTCTTTCACTCTGCTCTTCTCCATGCTGCCTGCTGCTGTCACTGATGTATTGTACACATGCCTTCTTTAACCTGGGGACCTCACCCACAAAAATCTTCTTTGGGCCCCCTGAGCAGGCTGACACCAAGTAACAAAATATGGTGAAGTCACACTGTCCCAGGGAGCTATAAAGGACAGCTCCGAGGATGTCAGGGCTATCAGGAAGACTGGGGAAGCACATTCCTCTCCTAGGCTCTCCACAGCTCCCACCACCTTCGCAAGTAGGTCCAGGCTCGTTAGTGTGACATCCAAGCACTTTACGTGCTGGCTTAACTCCTCAGTCACTGTTCTCCTTTGTCCTGGCTCTGTGCCCATCCCTACCACACTCCTTTCCCCAGACACTTCCATTCCTGGCACACGCTATACACTGCTGCACTGCTCTGCCTTTGTACCTGCTGGTCCTCCTGCTTGCACTGCCCTGGGTCCCCAAATGTCCACTCTCCCTTTTAGCCCCAGCTCACCTCCACCTCCCCTGGGACCCTAGGTATGCACATCCGTTACTGAGTACCCACACCTGGTTCTATGTTGGGACTCTTGTCAGCCTTATGACACAGGAGGTACTGTCATTCCTGTTCTACAAACAAAACATTGAGGCCCAGAGATGTAAAGACATTTCCTCAAGGTGGCACAGGGTGTAAGAGAGGGCGGAGATTTGAACTCCTGCAGTTTGACTCCAGAGTCCCCAAATCAGATGTGATCAAAACTAAAATCTCACATGAACTGACCACTTGTCCAGTACAGGCTGTGAGCTGAGCACTTGAAGTTCATTTTCTCACATCGTTCTCGTGGCCCCCCCTGGGATGAGGGTGTTTTATAGGGACCACACGAAGGTCAGAGAAGGTGACAAACATCCAGGTCATGACAAAGGGGGAGCAGTGGAGCTGGAGCCCAGTCCTCATCCTGGAGCTGATAGATAGAGCACATTCCCTGGCCTACCACGGAGAGTGCCACCTGAGAACTCTGGACACAGCAGGCGCTGCGGACACCTCCGTCCCTGCACGCACACATGCACCCAGGCAGGCAGGCAAGCTCACAAGCACACACTCGTGCATGCACGCCTCTACCATCCAGCCCCACTTTACCCAGACTGTATGCTTTGGTGACAGCGAATGTTTTAGAGCTTTCAATGATACAAACAGCCTGCTCTAGCATGTGTGCCTTAGGTTCGCCACCACTGGTTAGACAATAGCTGTTGAAGTAATTTAGGAGGGATGAGAGGGGTGTGATAGCAAGGAGCTAGAGCCACTGAATATTCTAGGGAAGACCTTGACTTCTCTGGGCCCCAGTTTCCTTCAGGCTTGAAAGTGCTGTGCGGTAGTGTTAAGAGATGGACCATGGAGTCACAGCGGGAGTTGCACAGCAGCTGTGCCATTGTTGCGTGTGAGAAGCTGGGTGGTGCAGTGGTTAGGAATTCAGCCTGGAGCCAGAGTGTTGGAGTTCCATCAGCTTCTCTTCTGCGTAGCTGTGTGACCTTGGGCAACTCACTTAACCTCTCTGAGCTTCCTATCCCTACAAATGGGATAATAATATCTACCTCATATGCCTGCCTAGGCCTACAGCTAATGTTACCTATGATTCTGCACGGAGCAATAGAATGAGGATATAAGAAATAAATCAGGGCATACCTCCCACCCCCACCCCCACCCCCACCCCAGTTTAAAACCTTCCAGCTGCATCATCTGGAATGAGATCAAAGCTTCTCACCCTGCAAGGCCCTGCAGGGTCTGGGCCCTGCTCCACTGGACCCCAGCAACTCTGGCCTGGGGACCACACCAGCTCTTCCTTGCCTCAGGGCCTTTGCCCTTGCTGTTCCCGATCAAAGATAAGAGAGGAGATTAATGTCTTACTCACTGGGAATCTTCAACTTTTGTGTGTGGCACAAAGTAGATGCTCACTAAAGAATGAAGGGCTGACTGGCCCTTAGAACCTCTGAGTCTGGAGAGGGACCCAGAAATTCCCACCGCCCCCAGGTCTGCACTGGGCTGCCCCGATCCCTGGTGTCCAGGGTGGCCGGCGTGTGGGTGCTTAGGGCTCACAGAGCTGATGCACGTTCGCTCCTTTGGGAGCCTCCACTTCCTTGTCTGCAGACCAGGAGGCTGCCCCGAGGGGGTGGTCAGGACTGGGGTCAGCCGGACGCAGAACGGGGCCAGAGGCACTCACTCTCAGCCACTTGCTCTTTCCGGGCAGAAGGAGGAGGGAAGGAGGCGCCCGAGGCCCCTGGGCAGGCCTTGCTGCCCCGCGGGAGGAGCGAAGCCGGCATGGGGATCCCAGAGGCCTGGGGCACAGCCCGGGGGTGGCCCGGGTCCGGGCAGCCGGATGGGACTTACCCATGGCGAGCCGGGCTCCGCGGGCGGGCTGCTGGGGGCACTGGGGACCGGGCGCGCATCCCCTCCCCGGCCGAGTCGCCTCGGAGGCCGCCACCACCGAACAAACTTTCCGGCCCGCCCGGCTGCGCCCCTCCCTGCCTCCCGCGCCGCGCAGCCGCCACGTCGGCCAAGGGAGGCGGGACGTGTGCTGTCCTCCCGTTCTGCCAGAAGTTCTCGGTGGAGTGAGGGCGCGCCTGGTCCCTCGCTTTGTCGCAGTTGGAGAGTCCCCAGTCACAGTGGCCCACACTTGCCTGACCTCCCCAGCTTACACACACACACACACACTCACACACTCAGATTCTCACCACCCATTTATCCCACACTAAGGTCTGGACACCTATACGGGGGCGGGTGCTCCCCAGGGCCTGGCTGGGTCGGTAGGTTCTTTTCTTAAGGAGTTTATACTCCAGTGCCAGAAGAAAAATAAATAACAAAAGGAACAACAGAAATACCTGCTATTGAACAAGGCTGGGCAGGGAATTAAACCAGGGCAGTGTGCTGGGAATGCTAGGCAGATAGTTAAACATTAGCAGGCCTGAGGGACAAAAGGCATCAAAACCCTGCTTTGCCAATTATAAAGAAATAAAGCGGTGTATAATAATACATTTAGAATTGTCTATTAAGTCTCAGGTCAAAAATATTCAACCACAACACAGAGAAGTCTTAAGGTCAGAGAGTGGGCAGCTGCACTACATACACAGCCAATGCAGGGTCATTTTATCTTAAAATCAGGCAGCTACCCACTCAGAGCCTGTGGCTGCCACGGCTAGTGGTACACTGATGACAAAAAAAAGAGCCCAAAAGTCACATTTCAAGATCTACCCACAGTATGTACATTAAACTAAGATTTAACTCAGAGTGTAACTGTATTTTGAGAACTCTGACTGCCTGGGAAGACCAAAGAAGACCTTTTACAACAGTAAGAGATAGACATTCCACACTTCACTTTTAAGACAGAATGTCGACAGGCATGATCACTGTGGAAATAGAGCGAAGATAATCACTGTACCGTAGTGCCCTATGCCCTCAGAGTTACTGTCCCTACATAAAAGGAGACCCACCACCACTCTGTGCAGTGGCCATCTTGGTTCTGCCCACCCTTTCCCTTAAGGCTGTACTTTTTCCCACATTGTTTTGCACTGTTCAATAAATTGTGTTTCTACTTTCACAGCGTTTTTCTGTGTCTTGACTGAATCCTATCATCAAGAGCTCATGGATGGAGGAATCTCCCACTGACAGGCGATTGGGGACACTTGAGGGGAGGGCGCCTGAGCTGACCTGGTGGTCCAGGCGGGAGGAACAGCAAGGGCAAAAACCCTGTGGTGAGGATGAGCTGCTGGGATACCGAGAACACCAGAAATGAAACCGGAGGGTTTGGAGCCTAGACGTGGACAGGCAGAGTAGAAGGGGAGGGTTCCAGAACAGACAGGCTGAGAACCTGATCCTTTAAGGCCTTGGAGGGGTCAGGATCATGGGTTTTATCTCAGCTGACAAATCACTAGGGAGCTCTACAAGGTTTGCAGGAGCAGGAGCAGGGAGGTACTTGGGCGCCTGCTGGAAGGGGAGAGGTGGGTGGGTTTGGCTCAGATGATAGTGGGGATGGAGAAGGGTAGGCAGGTTGGAGAAGGGGCGGAGAGGACTTGCGCACTGCAAGAGGAGCAGCCCAGGGCTGGGAAAGGAGAGCGAGAGTTCTGTGTTGACGCTGGAGGCTGCGTGATGTGACACTGGGCAGCCATGTGGAAATACGTGGGCAGTTCAATATGAGCCTGGAGCTCCAGACGGGAGGCAGGCAGGGGACACCACCACTCATTCTCACTCAGCCAGCACACACAAAATCCCCGGGGTGCAGGCTTCTCCCGCCTGAGTGCAGGGTCACACGCGTGTGTGGGGAGCCACGCTCACACCAACCCAGCCTTCTAGTAGACACATGTGCCTTTGCCCAGCAGGAACCGAGAGCCAGGGACACAAACAGGTATCTTGGCAGAGCTAGCATGGATGAGACCTTGGAGCCAGGGTTTTTTGGTATAGTTCTGAGAATAATAGTTTTGTGAACAGTTTCTAACCCCACGCTGGGCACTGACTGAGCAGCAAAGGAGACTTTTATTCTTGGTCAAGAATAGCAGAAATGGGAGTTAAACACACAAACCAACTTCTTCACCCCTTGTTGGTTGGGAGTTTACATAAGTTAAAAGAAATGAGGAGGAAGGAGTAAAGCCGGTGAAGAGAAAGAGAAATCGTGTCTTTTCTAGAAACGCACAGAAATTTTCCAGAAATTTAGGTGCTGCCTCTATTTGTTCCTTTTACAGTTCTTTCCAAGTCATCATCGTGGCAGCCCTCAAGTGTCAGGGCACTGGGGTGGGGTTGTTGTTTAGCATGCAGATGGGGTTATGATAAAGTCAGAGGTTGTGTGACAGTCACTCCAACAGCCATCATAGACCTAGTCAGTTTGGGTTTGCTCATGGGACCTCTGGCCTAGAGACATTTTGTCTTCAAAGAGAAACAGTACTAAAGCAGGTTAGGAATTTGGGTAGGCCAAGCAGAGACCACAAGATTAAGGCAAGGGAATATTTTGGCCCCATGGCTACAAAATTTGTTGTTTCCTCCCTAAAAATCTAGGTGGGCTTCAACCAGTAGGGGGCACAGAAGAGCACTGTGTGACTCAAAGCCTGGATTCCTGGGACACGGGGATCCTGAGCCTCCGAGTAGAAGGCTGGCTACCCGCCACGCTGTGAGGAAGCCCACACTAATAGAGGAGCCATGGGTGGTCCTAGTCCAGGATCTCCCAGTCCCAGCTCCAGAACAAGCCCTCAGATGGCCCCTATTCCCAGATGACAAACCTTCTAGCTGGGGACACAGTGGAACAGTGATACACTGTGCCCGTCAGCCTGTTAGGATTCCTGTCCCACAGATTCCATGAGTATAGTTAAATGGTGTCATTAAGCTGCAAAGTTGGGGCTGGGGATTTAGCCCAGCGGCAAAAGCACCTGCCTGGCGAGCGCAAGGTCGTGAGTTCGGTTCCTGGTACCGGAGAAAAACCAAAACAAAACAAGCTGCAAAGTTTTAGAGTACATTGCTGATGGAGCGACAAATGGGACAAAATCTGAAATGACTGAGTGAAAATTATATACTTTTGCTATCATGGGTGATAGAGTTCTGGGACAGATTTTCAGGTTCTTGTGTGTGACGAACAAAGCACAGACTGTGGCATGTAACAATAAGGAAAAAGAAGCAAAGTTTAATGAAATATAAAGGTTGAAGGAACACTCAGAGTGAGTGAACTTGTGCAGTGGAAAGGAAAGTGGCACAAGTGTGGATATGTTGGGCTTAAGAATTTGAAATGTTGGGCTGGGCCTAGGGCACCTCTGACTAAGTCTTTTAGAGCATGATGACCAGTGATTGACAGGGTGCCAAGTCATGCCAGCTGTGCCTTTTGCACATGACCTTGCCCATAATTCACTATGTCATAACTGGAGGTATGAGATGTGGCCCATACATATGAGCCTTTAATAAGCAAGCTCCAAGTGAGGAATGGTCAGTGTAGGTCATACCGACAGGTCTGGCATGCATGCATCCTGATGTGGGATTTCAGAATTTCCAAGAGTCTGATCTTTGCCTCCAGGTAGTAAGACAAAGGTTAGGGCTGTTGACCCTGGGCATTGTCCAGATTCAGGAGAGTGGAGGGGAGTGATCCCAAGGCCTCATTGTACTACAAGTGCCCATATTACTTTGAGTTAGCATTTTACATGTATTAGTTTACTGTTCACCTTCACAACAGCTTATGAGGTAGGAATGATTACAATCTATCTCCATTCTACAGACAAGAAAGCTGAGGCCAAGGAGGTGTAGCAACTTGCACAAGGATACAACTTGCTCAGGGTTTCAAGGGATTGCCACATAGCAATTCCTTCTTCCTCCTCTGAATGTCTTGAATTGCTACCAGGAGACCAGGTTCAGCAAGGCTGAACATATGTCACATTCTGATGACACAGCCTGTATATGTGGTATGTTCTTTGGTCTCTGCTCATGTTAATTCATGAAGAACATAACATCATGCTGATGTGTTCTATCTGTTCCGGAGAATAGAGATCCCCTTTTCCTCTCAAAGTATTACCATGGGTGATGGGGTGCCAGACAGGTTCCTGGGTACTTGTGCACAATAAACAGAGATTTGGGCATGGTGTGCAATAGTAAGGAAACAACAGCAAAGTTTAATTATGCAGTAGTATGTTCAGAGTGAGGGGGCTCATGCTGGTGACGGGAAAATGGCATGAGTATTGAGGGCATTGTTTGTTTGTTTGTTTGTTTTTTTGGTACTGGGAATCGAACTCACGACCTAGCGCTTGCCAGGCAGGCGCTGTGCCACTGAACTAGATCCCCAGCCCCCTAGGGCGTTGGTTTTAAGGATTTAAAATCTTGCTCAAGGTCTAGGGCACCTCCCATTGGGTCTTCCAAGGCATGGTTGACAATGTGATTAACAGGGTGCTGTCATGTCATCTGTGTCTATTGCACATGTCCATTCCCATAAGTCACTCTGTTATACTCTGTTATACTAATGAGGATGTACGAGATGCAGTCCATATGCATGAAACTTCACTGAGTTTCAGGTAAAGAAAGCTTACTGTAGGTCATGCAGGAGGGTCTAGCGTGCATGCCTGGATTCTGATTTGGAATTTTGGAATTTTCCAGGGTCTTTGTTTTTTTTTTTGTCCCTCTCTCTGAGTAGTAAGCCTTAAGACAGGGGGGGTGGAGTTTGGTCCTAGGTCATTGTCCTGAGTGGAGGGGAGTGGTCCAGCAGAGAGTAGAGGAGAGTGGCCTGTACCCCCAATTGTACTGCAGTTATCTATATTAAAAGGAGGAAGGGAAACTTATAACTAGATGGTGTCAGACGCAGCTTCAACGATGGCTCCCAACAACACCCCCACCCCCACCATTGTGGCTAGGTGGGATGTATGCACTGCTTCTTGCCTGGAACACGCAGCTATCAGGATCATAAACTCAGCGATAGTAATGAATTAAAAGGGCAGAATTTAGGGCTGGGGATATAGTTCAGTGGCATAGCACCTGCCTGGCAAGCCCAAGGTCCTGAGTTTGATTCTCAGTACCAAAAAAACAAAACAAAACAAAACAAAACAAAACAACAAACAAAAAACAAAGAGGCAGGGCTGTGTGCATCACCAACAGTGACCAGCAGCTGGCTGTGTTACCTGTTGATAACTCACATTATCTGGTGATGTTAGGACCTCCAGCAGAGCTGCACTTTGA